AAGGAGAAAGAGAAGGAATAAGGGAGGTGGGTGGGTATGAGAAGGAAGAAAGGGAGAGAGGAAGTAAAGGACGGGAATGAGAAAGAAAAGAGAGAGGGGGAGCAAGGAAGAAGAGAAGGAAGGACGGAGTAAGGGAGGTGGGAATGAGAGGGAGAAGGAGGGAGGGGGGGAAATGAGGGGAAAGGAAAGAGGGAGGAAGGAAGGAAGGAAGAAAAAGGAAGGGAGGTAGAGTGGGAGGAAGGAAGGGAGAGAAGGAGCAAGGAAGAAAAGGAAAAGAGGAAGGGAGGAAAGGAAGGAGGGAGGAAGAGAGGAAGGCAAGCAAAGGAATGAATAACCCCATTTTTTAAGACCACAGACCTGTCGGCCATCAGGAACAACCTGGTGCCCCCAAGAAAGTCAGACCTCTTGTTCCCAGGACCCCTCCCCCCTTAGGACCCCAGCCCCAAAGGCCGAAGGGCTCCCCCGGCCGTTCATCACACGTTTTCCATGAGCCCCCTCCACTTTCTAGATACCCAAATGCCGCCATCTTCCTCCCAACACGCCCGCCAGCAGGGTTTTTTTTTGGGGTGGGTGGGAGGGAGGGGGAAAGGGGCTGCCCCCCTCCCCATCCTCGGCCCTCCCTCCCTCACCTGCCACGTGAACTTCGGACGGCTCTTGCTTGCACACCTGATGCAGCGAAATGATGAGCTGCCCCAGGGCTCTGAACGCGGCTTTCCGTATCTGAATTTGGGGGCACTAAGAAAAGGAGGAGAGAGGTCAGAGGACACCAACCCCCACCCTGCCAAAAAAAAAAAAAAAAGTAGGACGGCCTTTACCCATTTTGGAACCGGGCAAGGCGGCCCCCCAAATTGAAGGGTTTGGAGCCACCGGAATAACAGAAAACGGGAAAATTCAGATTTGGCGGGAAGGAGAGAGATCAAAACCCCGGTTCAACCAGGTCTGGACACCAGGGTGAGCGGCTACCGGTTTGCACCGGTTCGCGCGAACCGGATGCTTAATTTTACGTTCGGGTTCGCCGAACTGGTAGTTCCGATGACTGGCTGGTCCTGCCCACCCCTCCCCTTCCCAGGGGTCTCCACACAGCCTGTTTTGGACGCGAGGTAAGTGCAGGGCGTGTGAGGCGGCTTGGGGAGCGTGAAAAACAGGCCTCCGGGAGGTTCTAGAACCCGGGGGGGGGGGGGAAACGGACTTCCCGTAAGTTCTAGGAGGCTGGAAACGGGCCAGAGAGCCTCCGGAGCTTGGGGAGGCCATTTCTGCCCTCCCAGAGGCTCGAGAAAAAGCCTCCTTGGTCTTTTTAGCTGCCAGCAGGAAGGAAGTGGGGGAAAAGTGCATTCCCCAAGTGCCTAGATAATCGCCCCGGCAGCCCAAAGTTGTCGGCGCGCAAGAATATTACTAGAGAGAATGATCGATGACTCTTGGCTATGGATGTGTCCCATTGGAGAATATACAGCCAGGGGTTGGGAGGAAGACCAGGGTCAAGAGGGAAATGAATGACGTATTTTAATATTAGCTTCATCCAGCTGACACCAACATGGCCACTTCTAATAAATCGAATTTCTTTTCTCTAAGAGATGCGGCTAGAGACTTACGATTTGAATGTGGGTGGATTGGTTGGAATCCTGACAGCCCAGTGCAGGGAGGGTGAAAACGCCCTCGTCACCATGGTGCAGGAGGCTGACTAGGCCACGATCACCCAGCAACCAGGCAGACAACTATTACTAAAATTTCGGACCCTCCTCCCAGAAATAGTACCCTAACCAGTTAAAAAGCTTCCAATTTGGAGGCGAAGGGATACAGACAGTATATCTATATATTTCTGGGAGGAGG